CTGGCAAAAGGGGGCCCTGATACTAAAAGTTTGCCCGGGGCCACCATGAGTTAGGGTATGGTACTGGGTTGACAGAAAGCTGTTTCTCAGCCAGGGGTGGCTGGTGCCCCTCAGTCTGGGGGGCATAATTTGTGGGCAGCCCTGGGGCCAGGCCAAAAGCCCCATATCCACCCCGTGCTTCTGTGCCATGGCTTTGTGTCCCCCCCACCCCTCAACAAGCCACCATCCCCCGCGGCAAAAAAACGTCCCCATCCTGAGTAGTGCCGAGTTGGGGGCCAATCTCGGGGGGGGGGGGGGTTCTCCTCCCCCCCCCCCTCCGGACCTCCCCTACCAGTTGCCTGAGTTCTCAGCTAAGTTATCGGACAAAGGCCCAGCTAGGGATCACGGTTACAACACTGTTGTTGCCTAACGTGGGTGAAAGATAAATAAGGAATATGGGAATTTCCTGACTGGATCTGCCCCACAGTCCATCTCTTGAAATACCCTGCACCAGGTGCAGGTCAGCGCTGCCACGTTGAGAGGATGCTGTAAGACACTTGTGGGTAGGCAGCTGCAGGATGTTCCTTAGTGGCTGTTCTAGTTAGTGCTGGGAGTGCGGAAGGTGTTTAATCACTTTGCTGAGGCAGGGTCTTCCTAAATAAAACACCCTTCAAAGCCTCTTTTGCCATTTCTTCCCATTGCGGAGAATGGATATTCTGGTAATTAGGGTATTATGTGGAACTCCCCTGCTCTGCCAGACATCTTTGGGATGACTTGATCACTTATTTATCCCTGATTTACAGACAAGAAACTGAGGCACGGAGACTCAAAGCATCCCCCCACGTCACAGGAGTATACATTAAACACTATGAAGTGCTTGGATATTACAGCCCTGTAAATACTTAGCACAGAAACGGAGCAGAAATCATAACACAATGCATACTTCATAATTACGCCCAAATTACTACTACTCCTGAATATTCTATTTTCTGTAATTATTTCCATGCTCTGTAATTTCCATGCATTTGCACAGATTATTAAAATATAGTTATGACTAATTCTTTTTTTAAAAAAACAAGTCAGATTTTCCTCCTCCCTTAAAAAGTTACCAAAATTGCATATTTTTGTATAAAATATTATTTGGATTAAAGTGTAATAAAAAAAATTAAGTTGCCTCTGGCTAAATATTGGCGAAACATTTATAAAGGGCTTAGAAACAAGTGAGATCTCAGTCTGAACTGAATTGCCAATAAATATGCCGGATTTTGAAATGACTATATTACTCACAAGTTGTGGAGCCCTGGAGAGTTATGCAGCTCTTCCCAAACAAGTAACAATAAAATCTTTATAGCACCCCAAAGCATCATATATATCATTTATGCCATTTATTTCATTTGATATTTTCTCTTCTAAAAAGTCTGCTTCTGGTTTTCCCTTTTTCATGGAAGTTTAGTAACTCTAGAAACATTACGTCATGCATCTACACAGAGCTTAGCGACATCCACAGACATAATATACACTCAATTTAAAGTTTATTCTGTGAATTGGGAAATAGGGTTGGAGTGGCATTACAGCCATGACGGTCCAGAAAATATCCAAGGGGCAAGGATTTTCGGTCATATTTTTTATTGGACTAGCTGCATAGTTGGGAAAGTTGTTGGACAAGCTTTGAGGCATCAAGTGCCCCTCGTTGGACCTGGCAAGTTTTTGGGTATCAACTCCCCTGTGTATACAGTTGGTCTATTAAAAATCCCACAGAAAATCCTTGCCTTTGGGAAACAGAGGCATTTATGAGCTATTTATAACTTTGTGACTGAAACACAGGTTGAAATTTTGGTACTGATATTTGTCTATGGCTATGATATATAAAGCTAATTTATCATTAATGAGTTGACAATAACTCTAAGAGACTATTTTAGCATCTTCTTTAGCTCTTCTTTAGAATACTGACTGCTAGATTATGATAAAGCACAATGAAATATGATATACAAAATAAAACCAAAAGAAGTCAGCAGAAAGTTTCAGGGCCTTTTCACCATGATTGTAGAATATGTAACATACTGAAAATGTAAGGAACCAACTAGGCACTTCGAAAATACAGCTATGCCTGATGATTAGACATCAGACATTCTGCCTGGGTCCCCCAAATGGAAGTTCTAGGAACAAACCCATCTTTGCACAAATGACATACAATCTTGTCCTACCTACTCTTCAGAGCTGAGCATGAATAGAGCTCCCTTTATAAACCAAGCTCCCTTTATAAACCAAGCATGCATTTAAATCCATCCCTGTTTCCTGTTCAGCTTAAGTCCCAATTGAAGTCAGTGGTGGAGACGTACTTACCCAAGTACCTTACTGAACTGGGAACCAAGAGGAGATGCACCAGGGCCTTATCATTGGCAATCCTTTGCTTGTTTTGCTCCTATATTATGGAGCAGGCAAAGAATGATGATGGATTTTGGTGGGGGTTGTACTTCAGAAGGATCCTCCACAGTGCTTTTTGGTTGATGGAGCCAAAGACTTTTGTGAGGTCAAAGAAGGCCATGTAAAGAGTTATGTTGTTTCCGACATTTTTCCTGTAGCTGGCGAGCATGTCAGCTGTGCCTCTTAGATTCATAGATTGTAGAGTCAGAAGGGACCACAATGGATCATCGTGTCCGACCTCCTGCCCCTGGCAGGAAAGAGGACCCAGGTCAGATGACCCCAGCCAGGTGACTATCTAGCCTCCTCTTGAAGACCTCCAAACTAGGTGATAGCACCACCTCTCTTGGAAGCCCATTCCAGATCCTGGCCACCTTTATTGTGAAAAATTTCTTCCTAGTATCTAACCTAAATCCACTCTCAACTAGTTTACACCCGTTATTCCTAGTCACTTCCTGGGGCATCTTAGTAAACAGCGCTTCCCCTATTCCCCGTTGACCTCCCCTAATACATTTATAGGCGGTCACAAGATCTCCCCTCAGCTGTCTCTTGTGAAGGCTGAAGAGACTCAGCTCTCTCAACATCCCCCCGTAGGGTCTATCATGAAGGCCACTAATCATGCGAGTGGCCCTCCTCTCGAGTTGGAGGGCCACTCGAGATTCCCCGTGTCCCTCTTGAAGTGTGGCGCCCAAAACTGGACATGGTACTCCAACTGCACGTGCTAATGCACGACAAGGTGCGATTGGCCTTGTTGATGGCCTCGTTACACTGCCAGCTCATGTTCACCTTGGAGTCAGTTATGACTCCAAGATCCCTCTCTGCCTCCGAGCTTCTGAGAAGGTCATTCCCCAACCTATAGATGTGCTGGGGATTCCTCCTTCCCAGGTGGAGTACCTTACATTTATCTTTATTACATTGCATCCTATTTCTCTCTGCCCATTGATCCAACCTGTCCAGGTCAGCCTGAATCTGCTCCCTGCCCTCCG